CCGCAAAAAAAAAAAAAAAAAAAAAAAAATTTCAAAACCCAGGGGGCACGGGACCCCCTTACCCTCTTTACCTACGCCGTTGTGTATGATTTCATTTTTTCTTTGATTTTGTTGCAATAGGATGATCATAAAATATCTGATACCAGTGTAGCTTTCAATAGGCATCCTACCTAAGATTTCACTCTTGGAGAAATATTACCTGCTTGAGGTATAGGCTGTTTTCTAAATCTTCTTTCTTTTTATCACATTTTTTAATATAGAACTATCTATATAGAGTCGTGTTTGCTTTCAAGTGTATATCATATGATATAATTGCCTTTTGCTGTTCAAACAAAAGAAAATTGCCTTTCACACAAAAAAAGAAAGAGGAAAAGAAAATCATATGAGCACACTAGAAGCATGATAACATTGAATGTCTACTTTTGATAGTGTTTTTCATTAGTGAGCAACAGATCTGAAGTCTAGCTCTACTTTTAGATGTATCGAAACTCTTACTCTGTATATTTATTGATAAAAGCTTTAACTTCAGATACATTTGAGGGGCAAGATTTCTTTCACACTAGTGCAATGTTGATATCCTTTATTCTCTTAGGAAAATATTTGGAGGTAATGTCATGTCAGAGATAGAAACTAGCACTCAACTAATATAGATGAATGACATTTTGAACATGGTTCCAGAGGCAAAGGTTCCTGTTGATGGTATTGTCATTAATGGTCAGAGTCATGTAAATGAGGGTATGATCACAGGAGAAGCAAAGCCAATAGCTAAGAGACCTAGTGACACGGTTCAGATGGTTTATTTTCTCTTAGTAGTAAAATTGATACTTTTGACATTTTTAAAATGTTTAATTTAATGGCAAAATATATATATTTTTATAACATCATGAACAGGTTATTGGTGGCACACCCATGGATGAATGTAATCCACTGTACGGCACCATTCATATGCCTTTTTTTATTCCGAATATACAAATTTGACAAAAGGATTCAATTTTGTGTTTGTTTTTTTAAATGGCATTTGAAGAGTCTCTTTAAATAATTTAATGCAATGATGAAATTTAAACAGAAGAACCAAAAAAATGAAGGCAACACTCTGAAATCACCCTTCTTTTTCCTTTTTTTGTTGGCGACAATATGCAGATTCAGTACTGCCCACAAATTAGACAAATTTGGAAAGTTGACCCTAAGGTGTTGCATAATATCATATTCTGCTTGCCTTTTTTTTCCTCTTTTAATTTTTTTCTGTATTTTATTTTTGCAATTGGAACAGTTTAAAATCATATTGTTGTTTCAAAGTCCAAAATCTGGCAATGGAGCATTGAAATTGATGTTTATTTTCTGATTCGAGTGTTTATTTTCGGACCATATTTAGGGTTGCTTTGGCATAAACTAAATAATACAAAAAGTCACTATCCTATTTAAGTCACATCATCTTATTTAAATCACATCACCTCTCTAACACATCACATCAAACCCAACTCAAACCCAACCCATATAAGCCAATAAGTCAAAAAGTGTACTTTTTTAGAACATCCCAAACCAACCCTTAATATTGTAATCTACAGACTACAGTTATCCAGGATTCGATGAATAGTAACATCTTTATAGATGTTACGACCATTCTGTCCTAATCTTAAAAGTTTTTCTTTTTGATTTTTGGTGTTGTGGGATTTCATTTTTCCTTTGTTTAACAGTCTGTTTTTAGTTCTAAATGCAAATTAACTATTCATAAAATCGTACTCACTTCTCTATTTTCACCTGCAAAGGGCAGTGAGTATCACTCCATCAACAGCACATCAACTAATTCAGGTACCAAATATTAGAAGCTTTTAGAATGTCAATCAATAACTCCACTCTCAAGCATACTATTATTTACCAGATTCCTGAAAATGACAGTAAAGCATGAATCTTTCATGAGATCTCTTTCTTTCTGTGTCACTAAAACATGAATGTTGCCTTGTCCTTGTGTAATTTGTGCTATTAGTTCACACAGCAAGAGTTATTCTCTTGGGAAATTGAAGCTTGATGCAATAATTGACCCATTTTGCTTGTTGACATCTCATTTTTTTTTTCCCTATTCTACATTGATTCTGGAATTTTTTTTTTTTTTTGATCGGCAAAATTAATGAACTTCATTGATGATATCAACATACAATAAATATGGAATTGCATCAATAAAGCAGAGGCAAAGAGCAACAAGTATCATAGTGATTTCCTTAATCCCAACTAGATTGGTACTAAGAAAAGCACCCTATCATCTGCTAGCTCAAGCCAAGAAGATGGTGAGGGACCAACAAGACTAACAAAACAACCAAGGCAAGCCCCAACAGGCACCTAGAACAACAATGACAGCAACAATAGTAAACTAGCAGCAAGCAGCACAAGAAACTTGATATGTCAACCCAATCTATGCTCACCCTTTTGAGTTGAACTTAGCCCATAAAGCTATTCTTACTCTCACCAATTCTTTTAGCTCCTCAAAATCGGGCTGGCCTTCATTAAACAAGCACTCATTTCTGAGTTTCCAAATAGACCACATTACAGCTAGAGGGACAATCTTCCAAATACTCAGAACTGATTTCTTATACTTAACACCTGACCACAACAGCATCAGATTCTCAATGGAGCCAGGAACAACCTACTTCAATCCCTACCAATTGATTACATCAGATCAAATTTTCCAAACCAATGAGCAAAATAGCAAAATATGATTCACTGATTCCTCCGCTATCTTGCAGAAATGGCAGAAAGTGATAGCAGAATTATTCAGTAAACCAATCCTCTCCAAAAAAACAGAGGTTTTAATCCTCCCCCTCCAAGTTAACCATCCAAAAAATTGCACTCTTGGAGGAGCAGCATTTAGCCACAGACAATTTGAAATTCTGAGGATAATACCTCTAGTTAGCTCCCCCCATTTCCACACTGAAGCTACACTAAAAGATCCTGATAAGTGGGCTAGCCATTTGCAAGAATCCTCCACACCATTGTTAACATTTGGTACATCAACCAGTAAATCATATAATCTGTGCACCTCTCCCTCCTCCACACCATTGATTCTGGAACTTTTTAGTATAACAATATACATAGGAAGTTGAAAATTTGATGTTCTGTATCTGTCCTTCTTTCATTTCACTTTGCCATAACTAATTTCCTAGTAGAGCATTGAAACTAATATGAAGTTTATCAGTCCATATATATTATAGCGATCCCGGTTTTTCCCTGTCATTACTATATTTTGGACTCGAGTTCCGTGGTTGTATGTTGTTGTCTGTATCTCGTTTCCATCCTTTGATTCTTTGTATTTGAGTTTTGGGATGTGTTGGGTGAGTTTGGAACAGGTTGGCTGTGAGTTAGAACAAATGGTTGCTGCCCAGGATTTGGTTTCTTCGCTCGAGCGAGACTTTTTGCGCTCAAGCGAGGCCTGGGTATTTGCTTCTTCGCTCGAGCGAGAGTTCTTGCACTTGAGCGAGGATTGAAGGTCTTCAGGTTTCTTTTCAGACGCAGCTTCTACTCGAGCGAGCTTTCTTGCGCTCGAACGAGCCTAGTCTGGTGTGTCTCTTCGCTCGAGCGAGAACTCTTGCGCTCGAGCGTGCGTCTGTGTCTCTTTTTGACCTGAAGAGTGGTATTCTCCGCTCGAGCGAGTTTTCTTGCGCTCAAGCGAACTCTGTGTCCTTCGCTTGAGCGAGGACTCCTGCACTCGAGCGTACATTTGGGTTGCAGACCTGAAGCTTTGCATTTTTCACTGGGACGACGCTTCTTGCGCTCGAGTGAGGTCCTTTTGTATCTGGTCGCTTGAGCGATCACTTCTTCGCTCGAGCGAGCCCTGTATATATCAGTTCGCAACAGCGTGATTCTGCACCACTTTTTCAACTCCATTTCACTCCAAACCCTAGATCTAGCTGTCTCTCTCTCTACTCTCTCTCCCTCTCTACAAATACACTTGATCTAGAGTGTCTCTACCCTACTTCCTTTTGTAAAAAATGTAGAGTATCGTGTGGGCTATTAGTTGATCCGAAAAAGTTGAACCTTGGAGCATCTTGGGTTTTTCTCTTCATCTCCTTTGAGCTTCTCCATGTGAGGTAGGGATAATCTACTCATTTTTATGGGCTTTAACATAGACATTAGTCATTTTGTATAAATGGTGAGATTTGAAAATTTTGGGAAGTTAGGGTTTGAAATTTGAAATGTTTGAAAGAGGGGTTTTCTATCTTTGGACTTCATTGTGTGTGTGAGGTCTTGAAAATGGGGATATTTGGGTAGAATGGATGAAATTTGGTCTTAGGATCAATGTTTGAGAAAATGAGGAAAATGCCCTAATTGAATTTAAATAATTAATTTGTATAATTAATTTAGTAAATTGTGAAAATATGAAATTGGGTTGAGAATCTTGAAATTGGGGGAAATTGTGATTGAATGATGTAGTTGGATTGATAAATCACTCACCAATGGAAAATGTAATAAATTATCTGTTTGATAGATTTATTTATCTATTTAGAAATAACTGTTTTGGGTTATCGATTGAGGATAGTCTTGATTGTTGCAAACATTGCATGATGATTAGGGAAATTGAAACTAATCAATTAGATTATGTCATTGAAAGTGACGGTGGAATCAACGCATTGAATATGTGAATAGTTGGGTGGTATATGACTATGTATTTAAATACATTGTATATGTATATTGTGTGGGAGGAGATAAGGGATGTACTCCATTTGTTTGGGAGGAGATCGGGGATGGACTCCATTGATAATTAAGTTGGCCAGAATGTCCAGGGTGAAAGCCCGAAATCTTTTATATATTTGGGTGCCAGTTCCTCCGGACGTAGTTCCATAAAATGGCAAGAAAATAGAAGTGTTGAATGTTGTTGATTATTGAAGTGTTGATATATGAGTTGTAGTCTCATTTTAAATTGTTTGGGTAATATTGAATAATGTAAGTGAATTGATTTGGATAAAGAAAAAGGAGTGGTTTGTAAATGTTGATTGGTTATGGAAAGAATACAAGTTGGCTTATAAGTGTTAAACATTTATCAAATGCTAATGTTTTAGTTAATTCTGATATACTGTTTAGCATATCTCTACTGGGTTGTGGCTCACCCTACTTGGGACACCATTGTCAGGTACAGGTGATATGCCGCCTCCAAAGACATAGCTTGGGAGGTTTAGGGGCTAAAGGCTTCTTTTTGTTGTTTCCTTTTTGTGTTACGTGTAATTCAAGCCAAGGACTTTATATGTAAAAGAGTTAGAACTCTTCTTTTGTGTAACCAAGTATTGACTTGGAAGGTTGTAAGCCGTTGGGCATCTATTTTTGTTGACAAGCATGTAACACCTTTTGTAAAGAACACTCTGATATATGGAATATAATACTTCTTCTATGTTTTATGGATCTTATGAATGAATGAGTTATGTCTTATTTTGAGGGCGTTACATATATGGTTTTAATCCATGAGAAAGAAAATAGATTCATTTTGTAAAAGAAAAAATATATTGAATTTAAGTATTTGGTTTCGACAATTGTTAATTATTTTTGTTGTTGTGTGTTTGCACTCGAATGTATGTGAGAGGTGTCATTGTTTTTTTATTCTGGCTGTCTAATGGTTCATGGACTTCTTTGTGGGTTCTAACAATACATCTTATGATTTACCCTATGGTGTTTAGGGCAAGAAAAGAAATGATACAATCTGCATTGCACTTCTAATGACACTTGTGATCAACCAAAGATTAGGATGAATAATGTTGTTATTACTCCATCATTCAAGGTACTCTCACTCTCTCTGTCTCTCTCTCTCTCTCTCTCTCAAGTTATTTCTCTATTTCTTCTCTGCCTTCGTTTCTTCTTGGTTTTTGGTTTGAATCTGCTCCTAGAGTAGTGTTAATTTCATTGTTGTTTATAGCATAGCTAAATGAGTTGGAGTTTGGCAATTTCAATCATTCTTTAGGCTTTTAGAGTCCATGTCATATGTTAAAATGGCATCCACATCTGAAATCAAGGTTTCCATTGCCTTGATGATAAATTGGAACTTCCCATAACACTGGTACTGACCGTTCTACTTTGTTATTATTGATGCTAAATCTGGATTTCCCACAACACTTGAATTTCCTCCTAACTGTACTCAGCAGAATATTGAAAGATAGTTAATATTGTTTTATGGAGTATTTACTTTTTTTTGCATGTTAGATATTGGGATTGTTCACTTGTAGGATGCTATTTAATCTACTTTGGATTTACAGATTTTATTGCATTGTGCATAATACTCGAGCTAAATTTGGCAACTTTAAGTAGAAACACTCTAATTGGTATATCACAGTTTTGAGACCAAGCATTTTATTACTAACATTTTAATATTGTAGTTTTTTTTTTCATATGTTTGACAGATTGGCGATGGATGGAACGTAATTCAGGAACATCGGAGGATTATATTTTGAATTTTTGAATATGTTTTGTTATAGGATTTTGTTATGAATTTGTAAGTTTGGAAGTTTTTTTGGAATTCATTGTGACATGTTTGAAGTTTCAAATTGTAAGGGATTTGTACTTATGCTGGATGTTTTGGATTTGATATTTTAGTTATGTTTAATATGCTTGTTACTTTTGAATTAGGTTTATATTTTGGATGCTTTGCACAAGTGTGTTAATTTGTTTTGATTACATGTAGTGTAGAAATGACGCACAAAAGTAAGTTTGGGGTTGGATTATTTTTTATAGGTTTGTGAATTATGTACTGAACAGGGAAATTGTAAAAAAGAAATATAAATAATGAATTTTTGGTGTTAGATTTTTTAGTTGTGAATTTACTTTTGGTGACACTTTATTTTCATTGCTAAAAGTCTATGCTGAATAGGATATAAATTTTTACTTGATTGGTCGGCAAAAGATTTGACGTTCAACAATAAATTTGTTTCGTCGCTGAAAGATACTTTGGCGATGCATTTATAGGTCGCTAAAACCAAACATATCATCCTATATGTCGACTAAATATTAATTTACAGCGATGAATTTTTTGTTGTTTGACAACTAAAATATTTGGTCGCCGATTTATTTATAAGGTGACCACAATTTATTTGGTCATCGAATTATTTAGTGACATGGCTTCGGCAATCCAGCTACGAAAATTACACTTTTGATGACTAACAAAAACATTGCCAAAGATGCTTTTTTCTTGTATTATAATAACTAAAATTTGCCCAGTATTAAAAAAAATGGGGGAGGGGAGGGGGGGAGGTTTCCCCTTGGTCAATTTTGAGGAATTTTTTTTGGTATAAAGTTGTCTTTGTGAATTTGAAAAGTGTTTGCTTTGTTGTCCTCTTATCTTCTATCTATTTATAATATTAAATATGTGAGCACTGAATTTGGTGTCTAAAAGCAAAGTCTGAACTCAAGAATCATAGGTTTCATTAAAAACATACTTGCCATTTAAGCAAATAGCATATTATGATATTAATTTATTTATTATTTATTTTTATTTTTATTTATCTTAATTGCACACGTATTGCATGTGTCACTTGCCAGTTCATCTTTTATTTAAAAGAAAATAAAGAGTGCACTTGGTTATTATGGAAAAGACTATGGTACACACATTTAGAGTGTGTACATATGTAACTTATAATTAAAAAAGAAAATAATATAATTTCATACTTTTTGAGTCATAACTAGAAAAAAAGAAGTTATAACCAAACACCACATGATGCATAATTAAAAATTTCATGAGTTATAATTAAAATATTGTCAACTAAAAAAGAAAATGACTAAGGATGCATAATAAGGTACACCCTTCCAAGGGTGTGTATAGTAAAATTTCCCATTAATTTCATTTTAAACTTTTTTGATTTATAATCTCAAGGTTTATTTATTTGTATATTTATTTATTATTCACTTATCTATTTACATCACTTATTTTTTTACATGTCATTTTCTATTTGTCCACCATACTTATCTGTCCATATCATTACCACCACTACTGTTGGCCATTGTCGTTAACCACTTCTAGCGATTTTTCTGACTGTGATCCAGTAGTCTGGGGGTAGTAGAGTAAAAATAACTTATGTTATGCAAGAAGGCAACGTAAGAGGGGGATGAATTGGGTTAAAAAAAAATTTGGCCAGAAAAAGATTTCTAAAGACAAAGTGATTAAATGCAGCATTAATAAATGAATACACAAAAAATAAAAAGAAGGGAAAGAAGAGCTCAACACAAGAATTTATAGTAGTTCGGCTCACCGGCCTACGTCCACTCTTCAAGATACCTCATTGAGAATATCTTTACTATGAATCAATGTACCACCTAACTTCACCTAGCTTGTGGATCTTTACAAAGGACTTGCTTCAATCTGTTAAGGACCTCTCAACTAAATGCCTCACTTTACAAATATTTCACTCAGAAAATAAGGAACAAGAATAAGAGGTATAACTATCCTCTTTTACAAGTATTCTCTCTTAAAAGATGAATATGAAAGTGTAAGCTCACAGATAATTTTTGGACTCACTTTGATATGAAAGTGGAAGAATAAATGAAGTATATTAAATGCTTTTGATTGCTCTTGAATGCTCTAGGTTTGTTGTATTGAAGAAGTGTGTATTTCGGATCAAGAGAGCTTTATATTTATAGCATTAATGGCTTCTAGCTGTTAGAGAGAGAGAGGATTTGAAATTCCTAGCCGTTAGAGCAAATTAACCAGGATTTCTTCCAGCTGTGTTTGATCAGAGTATGTTAAGATACAGACAATATGCAGGTCTTGGGAAGAGAAGGCTCAATAAATGCACAAACTTTAATTTAATACTCATCTTCATAAGTCAACTTCTTAGAAGAAGATATGGTGCCAAAAGATCTGCTTAGAGGTCAGAAATGATGCATATTCTATATACAAATCTGAAAAAGTGGCTGAGAAAAGGTTTGTATCAGTCTAGATCTGATTTGGCAGCTGGATTTTTCAAACCTAGATTTTACAAGTGTCGACCCTTGCAAATTGGGTGTCGACCCTTCGCTCTTCTTCTCTTTTCTGAGTTCAGTTCCAGGTGACTCTGGTGTCGACCCTTATCATTCTTGGTGTTGACCCTTGCTGCTGAATTGCCTTCTAAAATTTAGTATCGACTCTTGCTGTTTTTGGTGTCGACCCTTGTTGCTAGATTGCACACTAAAATTTAGTGTTGACCTTCGTTATTTTTGGTGTCGACCCTTGCTGCTGGATTGCACACTAAAATTTAGTGTTAACCCTTACTATTTTTGGTGTCAACTCTTGCTGTATTGGTGTCGACCCTTGCAGAACACTTAGCCATTTTTGAGCTTTACTCGGGTGTCCACCGTTGCTATCTTGGTGTCGATCCTTAGACCTGTTTTAAGCATGAATAGAGTTTTTGCAACCAAGTGCTAAATCTGATTTGGCAGCTGGATTTTTCAAACCTAGATTTTACAAGTGTCGACCCTTGCAAATTGGGTGTCGACCCTTCGCTCTTCTTCTCTTTTCTGAGTTCAGTTCCAGGTGACTCTGGTGTCGACCCTTATCATTCTTGGTGTTGACCCTTGCTGCTGAATTGCCTTCTAAAATTTAGTATCGACTCTTGCTGTTTTTGGTGTCGACCCTTGTTGCTAGATTGCACACTAAAATTTAGTGTTGACCTTTGTTATTTTTGGTGTCGACCCTTGCTGTTGGATTGCACACTAAAATTTAGTGTTAACCCTTACTATTTTTGGTGTCAACCCTTACTGCTGGATTGCACACTAAAATTTAGTGTCAACTCTTGCTGTATTGGTGTCGACCCTTGCAGAACACTTAGCCATTTTTTAGCTTTACTATGGTGTCCACCCTTGCTATCTTGGTGTCGATCCTTAGATATGTTTTAAGCATGAATAGAGTTTTTGCAACCAAGTGCTAATGCTCATGTTTTGAAGGACCAAAAATCATTGAAAAATAATATTCTAGAGTCATATAACTTCTAGAACCATGAAGCACAATTTTTATACTATTATTTTGAAAACTTTGAATTACAAAATAAATTCAAAATATTTGTCAATAATCAAAATCAATAGAAATTTAAGTTTGAATAACCTTGGAGCTAACAACTTAAAAAAACTCATTCAAAATAATAATTAGTCATTCTCACTAAATAATTTTATTAATTATGTCTTATCATCAAAACAAAATAATTCTTAAATCTAATGCCATAAATACCAAATTTTTGAATTTTTCACCAAATTTTCCAAGGAAATAAAAGATTTTTTTTCCCTTTTTTGGTTTTTGAACAAGATAACTAACAATGTTAAGATCATCGAATTTGACGTGAAATAGTGTACGATCAATTGACCGGCTAATCGACACAACTTTATTTTTGGTGGGTAGAAATAATTTTTAAAAGTTAAAAAATATTTTTTTGACATTTATTTTTGTCAAATTAGTTTATATTTTATCAAATTGTCAATTTTGCTCTTGAAATTAAACAATAATATCTTCAATTGTCTTTATTTGAAACAAGATTCAAAATTTAAGATCAAATATGTTACAATTGAAAAGTCAGAGATCAAAGTAACACAAATTCCAAATTATAGGGATTGTTAATGTAAGCTGCCCAACTTTAAATTAGGTAGGCGTTGCATTTACAATTATGTTTCGTAGCTCGAAACAATGGTGGCCCAAATGGCTCAACTACCAAAACGGATCGTTTTGGTAGCTTCTTTTTTTTTTTATAATGTTTTGCCTCTGAACAGACGGAAGGAGACAGAAGACAGAAGAAGAGAAGGAGAAGACAGATTTTTAATTTGGGTTTGATTTCGCTCTCTCTCTCTCTCTCTTCACTCCAAAAGCCTCCTCCTTCTCCAACACCCACAATCCGGACCACCGTCGGAGTCCATGATGCACTCCTTCTCTTCCCCCTCTGTTTTGGGTTTGATTGATTTTGTTTGTGGCTGATTGGTTTTGATTTTTGATTTTTGGGTTTGACTAATTTGGGCTTGATTTCTTTTCCCAGATTTTTGGGTTTGATTTGTTAGCTTTCCCAAATTTGGGTTTGAGAAATTGAACACAAAAGTAACAGAGATTGATGAAGAAATGGAGATGGGCAGTTACAAAAACATCATAAATGAGAAGGATTGCAAGCTTGGAATCTTGGGGACCAGTGGCATAGGTCTTAAGCCCTCCAATCTCTTGGAGATTTCCTGATCCACATATTGAGCTCAGGCTTGGTGGGTTCTCAAAGCACTGTGAGGTTGCCATTTCCAACTCTACACAACCCACAACACCACCACTTGTATACAATATATATATATAGGCATATCTGCAGAAGATTTGGACAACGGGAAGAGCGCATTGGTGGAGAAAGACAGTGAAGATTTGTAGAAGGAGAAGAAGAGAAGAAACAGATAAAGGAGAGAGAGGTTGAAAAGTGAAAAATCGGGCCACTCAAGCCACTAAAAATCGAGCTACGAAACATTGTTGTTGCATTTAATGGTGAGGCTGTAAAGCCTAGGTTCCTTGCTGTATGGAGTGGAATGTGTGGAAGGAATGAACTATGAAATAGGTTATGCCCTATGAGAATTGAATACTATGACAATGACACATCCATTTTTTGTATTTATATATATATCTTTGAAAATTTCTTCTTCTTCTAGC